ATAAAATAAAATAAATAAAAAGCTTAGAAATAGGTGTTTCCTAGGAAGCCAGTGCTGGTCCATTGCTGGTCCAGTCAGTTCTGCCTCAGCTCACGTGCAGGGCTTTGCTAGTCATTGAGTCAGGGTTTTGAATCCTCAGTCTACACCTAAGTGTAGAGGTCTGCACGTGGGCTGGGTGTCTCATTCCCCTTTTGACCAATGCAGTCCAGTCAAAGCAGGCAATGGGGAGTAGAAGAAGTTTCAGATTAAGACAGAAACAAGCTAAAAGCAGCCTCTTACTCTGGCTGTTCCACAGCATGGCAATGAGCAGAAGGCTTCCTACAGGAAGGCAAGGACAAATGTTCTCTTCTGCTGTGAACTCAGGTGAAGGTATTTGGGCAGAAATACAACGGGAAGTGTGAGATGTACAAAGCAGTTGATTCATAGAAATTTTGAAATGCAGAAAAGGAATTAAGTTTTTTTTTACTTCTGAAAATGGGAGGAGAGAAAAATAAAATAAAAAAAAAAAAAGAAACAAACATTATCTTTTTACTTGGGAAAAAGCCAGGAAAAACACAGAAGAAAGATGCATTATGAATTTAGAGAAATGGAAACTCCACAAAAAAATAAATCTTCATTCTCCTCTTTTCAGAGATGATTCTACCAGTGGTGTTCCTGTGTCTCACGGCTGTGCTGCCTCCATCCACTGCAGAGGTAGGACTCACACTTTGTACTCAGAAAATCTGAAACCCAAGGCACTTGTCTGACTGAATATGGCTTTTCTTGTGCACATAGATCATACGCAGAAAGAGCCTGATTAGATATGTAGGATCTGGAAAGCATTTATCCTTCAAGTCTGTTTAATTTCAAAGCAGTAAATTGGTTCCACACTTGCATACTAAACCATCTATAGACTCAGTGTTAGTTATGTTAGGTCAGAGATCACTGTATCTTCCAGAAGCTTCCACAAGCAGATCAAGTAATCTGGATCTCCCAAAGATCCACCCCTCTTCCTTTTAATTCCACTGCTTTGCAAGCAGCAGTTACCCAACTCTCTTCCTTTCTCATCCTACAGGTCCTGAGCTGTGTGGCTCTCCCTTTGCTCACAGTCTTACCCTCTCAACATGTGTCACTGATTTCCTTCAGACAGCTAAACAGACATACTCAACACACACTTAGAGGGATTCCTCCCAACTCATACTTAGTCTGAAGTGTGACGTTTGCTACTTCTGCTTTAGCAACACTAATGTGACTGCTTGGCTATATTTTCTTCTTAATTATTCAGTTTCTGCTCTCCATCCTGCAGTCCAGAATACTGTAACCATAAAGAGGGTGCTGAGTTCTTCACATGGGTAACTTTTAATTAGAAAACACATGGAAAGTTTGAGACATGCTATCAGTTATGGCAGGAGTGGAAGGAAATCTATGGCATGAAAAAAATAGGCACACATTTTGTTCAGTAGGATGTCCTGATGAAGTACTGCAAGAGGTCTGTAATGATCCTGTAAACACATTCCTTCAATAATTTAAAAAAAAAAAAAAAGAATAAAATTGATGGTCATGTTTAAAATCCTGAAAGCAGGGAACACATCAGAAACACATTCAGGTCTTCAGCTTATTTTTAGATCCTTTTTCCTCAAAACCTCTTGAAAGAAATTAAAATGTCTGATTCAGTTGCCTAAATTTAGAAGTCTAAAGGCACATGAGGCATTCCAGGGTATCTCAGCCATGTACAGAGGGTTAACAGGGTATAAGGAGGTATGACACAGGAATCACTGTTACTACTGGTAAGCTCTGTACTGTGGAACCACTGAAAGTACTGCTCCACATAGAAGCACTCCTAGAGATACTTAAGAGACAAAGCATATCACACCACCTCCTCCATCACAAGGACCATCTCCTTAGTTGATCTTATTATTTTGGTATTTTAACGTTTCCTAGACAGGACACAGGATTTAGTGATGTCCAAATACAAAAGAAATATAACGTGTTCTTTCCATTTAGGAACCTGAAGGTCTTGATGCTTTGTCAACTAGCAGAGCTGATCAGCAAAAGCTGATTGTTGACAAACATAATGCCCTCAGGAGAGCAGTAAAACCAACTGCCAGCAACATGTTGAAGATGGTAAGTTGCATGCTGTAAACCTATTTTTAATGAGTAATGGACTCTATGAGAGATATAGGACTGTATGCAAGGTCATATTATTTTATTTAGCCATAAATTCACACTCCAGAACTTTCCTAAAGATTGACCGTGGGCAGCATCAAAAAAAGAATAAAGCTGGGCAGGTAGAAAAAAAAAGTCTGGAAAATGTCGTCTATAAGCAACAATGGCACTTTATTTTGGGTGGAAAAGAAAAGGAAGATCCAAGACACTGTTCATTCATCAGTCTTCAGTTTCTGTTCTTCTGGGTGTATAGCACCTTTTATCTTAACTCCTCATCCTCCCCAAAAAAAGGGGAAAAAAAAAGATTTTGTGTGCATTTTTTTTTTTTAATTTAAATTATAATTTCCACATATTTTTCCTTCATAAGGGTTTATTAATTGGTACAAGTCTGAATGACTAATATTTTCTTCTTTCATTAAGGAATGGTCTCGTCCAGCTGCAGAGAATGCCCAAAAATGGGCCAATCAATGTACTTTAACTCACAGTCCTGTTAACATGAGGACAACCAGTAAGTGAAGCATGAGTGCTAGCTGAATAATGTTGTATGTGTTACTGATATGGCAAGGGTTTTTTTGGTTGGTTGGTTGGTTGGTTGGGGTTTTTCTGAGATGTTGTTTATATTCAATGTGATTTTGCTGCTGCGTGGGAAAAAGGCAAAATTCTAGATATAAATCTCTTCAGTAAGTAAGAAAAGTTCAATCCCATCCTCATTCCAGTTGTAGCAGTTTTACATAGGTACATCACATTTTCTTCAGTAGGTGAAAAAAAGTCATAGTGAGAGAGCATATTGTCTGAAAATATCCATCAGATGGAAGAGAATCTAGACCCACTTTACTGCAGAAACCAGCTTGCATGTGCTGGATGAAACTGGCTGAGAAGGAAAGAGTTAAAAACAAAGCACCTAAGCATGCTGGTGATGCTAAGCATAATTTCTAAGACAAGACTCCTAGATTTTAAATCCCCCAGAAACTTATAACCTGTAACAGTCTTAGAGGCTCATATAAACACTCTAGTCATTGGATATTAAAGCTATAGCTATACTACTTTAGCAATAGCCATGATCACTGCCCAATATGTTGTTGAGTGACTTCTGTCTATAGAGTATGTAAGATGTGGACTGTCCTTCAGGACCCATAGTTTGTGCCTTAAAAACACAATCCTCTATTTCTTGTTAAGGTGAATCCCAGATGAGAACTAATGTGTAAGCATTAGGATTGGACTTGAATAAAAACAGTAGGTGAAGATGGTTTGGACACCTTCATGTATACCAGAAGTAAGCTTTGAATTATTGGGTTTTTCCCAAGATCACTGAGCTGTGGCTTGAGTAATGATTAGGTTGCTAACATTCAAATAACAAAATTACAGTCATGAATCTGTGGTGCAGATGTGCAGCTGCATCTAAATGCATACAGAAGGTCTGTCAACAAACAAATTTCCAGCCAAACAAGTTGGCCATGCTGCAAACTGGTCAAGTGACAACTTTACTATTGACAAAGGGTGATAGCACTGAACTGGAAACAAAAGCAAACACCCTGCTGTCCCATCTGGAATGAGAACTTCCATGGAAATTGTGCCTCTTTTTTGTTTTTTTCCTCACACATATATTTTTTTGTTTGCGTTTCTCAGTAGCCTTCTTTTTTCAGATGTACCATGTGGTGAAAATCTCTTCATGTCTTCTGCCCCTTTCTCATGGCCATACGCTATTCAGGCCTGGTACAATGAGGTGAAAGATTTCAAATATGGAACTGGAGCAACAACACGAGGTGCTGTGATTGGCCATTACACTCAGGTAGATGCAACTTTTTCATATTTCAGGATGAATAAATAAATATTTATGTTAGCTAGGTAGCATTTACCCCTTCATCTTTAAAGGCAATAAGTACAATGGAGACAGGAGAGTTATTCTGAAAAAACAGGATAAAAACTGTCAAAGTAACAGAATCAAAATGAAAATAAAATGTTAAGTGTCTTTATTGGTTAAAGATACTAGCATTTCAAAACTTCAGCAAGAAACAAAGGGAAGAAACTTATTTGTTTGTTTAATGTCTGAAAAGTGCTGAGACAATAACATCCAAAAGTTACTCAGACACTGTAAGAATAAGGTTTAGACGTATCAGGAAGGAAATAAAAATAGGTTGGTTACAATCTACAGAGTTGCATTGACTTAGAGAGTTTCCATTTGGACAATGACTTATTATAACCTCTTTTGTTCACATGCATGAAATGCAGGATACCAGATTTTACATTGTGATTTCTACGTCTTCTTCAACAGTTTGAACTGAATGAAAACAATATATAAATGAAAAACTTTAACTCAAATGTTTTATATATGTATTATAAATTATTATCATTATATCCTAAATGTTCTTTGGTTCAGGGGTTAAAGCAGGAGGGAAAAATGCATTCCTAGGAAAGTGGGACTTATGTTTTACTATAAAGGTTAAATACAGTGACTTAGCTTGGTTGTAAATATTTCTGTAATGCATATTGTACTTTAATGATTTTCAAATGTATATTTTTCATTCTCTCATGATGTTTATCCTTATACCTACAGGTGGTTTGGTCTAAGTCTTCTCAAATTGGATGTGCTGTCGCCTACTGTCCCAACCGTGAATACAAATACTTCTATGTCTGCCACTACTGCCCTGCGTACGTATCGACTGTGATTCTGGACCTTATTATCAAAATTAGATGGGAGATGGTGAAATTTGTAATAGGGCACATCACCCACAGCTGAGGAACACATCTGAAAAATTTATTAGAAATATGAAAAGACAGAAACGTACTCACTGAACAAATTGTCAAACAAGCAAAAGCATAAAACACATAAAAGTGACACTGATTTTTAGATTAAATTTCATTAGCCTAAAAATCCTAATTTTCATAAATCACAAATTTGCTTGAAATTCTACTTGAAATATCAGTCGAGAAAGCCATATCAATATGCAGAGTACAGTAGAGACTGTAAATAATACCAAAAAATTTGTGCGCATTTTAAGGCAGAGTGATGATTTCATACTCTACCTAAAATTAATTTTCACATTCACATTGTAATATATTGCAGTAGATTGACCTTGGCTGGCTGCCAGTAGCTCACCAAGCTGCTCTGTCACTGCCCCTCCTCAACAAATAGGTCAACAAATAGGTCAAGGTAAGGACAGGGAGTTCACTCACCAGTTAGTGTCACAGGTAAATTACACTCAACTTGGGAAAATTAACGTGATTTATTATTATTGATTGATTGACACGTAACCAAAGACTGAGTGTAAATTCATATATGCATGCAACTGTATAATTACTTTTTATTCTCAGATATGTTATAGTGATTTTACAGCCTATATTGTTAATGTTGATGTTTCAGGGGAAATCTGATAAGTTCAATTCCGACACCCTACAAAGCAGGACCACCCTGTGGCGACTGCCCTAATGCTTGTGATAATGGATTGTGCAGTAAGTTTTAAGAATTTTATTTGTGGGTAAAGTTATGTTTTTTTAAAAAAAATGCCAATTAATTCAGGCAAATGGGAAGTTTTTGCAATTAATTGGTTCAAACACAGGGCAAAAAGCACTATTATAGAACCACTCTTCGCCATGCTAGGTGCTTTACCTAGGAGGGATGATTTGTGGAGTGAAGCCAAAGACAAAGGAGTTTATAAAAAGGGTGGGAAAATGTTGGTTGGTGTATATTGAGACACAGACTACCTCCATTTGATGGATCAAGGTATTCATATGATCTAGATACTTTGATTAAAATGTCTTGGTCTTCATATGGAAACTCTCATGAATACTTCCTGGCTTATGAGGATACATTGATTGAAAGTGGGGTCAAAGGTACCAATGGCAGCACAGAAATTTGAGCTCCACATTTCCAATTGCAGTTTATATGCTTTTCCATGGCCAGAAGAGGCAATTCTCATCCTTGAATCTAGGAAATGCCAGGGAAGGAGGTGACTTCTTTATGTCAGCTGATCTAAGAGCAGCAGCAACACACTTGGCAAACAACTCTGAGTTTTAAGAATTCTAACAGGAAAAAAAAAACTTATGGACTCAGTCTCATAATGGAAGACTTAATTTCAATCTTTCATTATGGAATTAACCTAATTCTCATCATGGGATGTAGTATAAAGGAAGAAAGCTTTGAAACACCTTGCAAGTTTAGTGAGAAAACCTTGAAAGACCTAAGAATTCTGTATGTGTGGTTAAAGATGTTAGATGCTGCTGTCGAGTAAATAGTAACAAAGAGGATAAAATTACAGAGAAAAGAAATATTGGTGAAAAATTATTCTGAAAGGAAACATTGAAGGTTTTCTTTTCCCATTTATGATTAATTATGTGTTTCACTTAATTTTCAGCCAAGCTTTGAAATTTAGAAGACCTTTATTCCAGCTACCATGGCAAAGTCTCCTGGATGTACACATAGCTTCATCAAGTTTGCTGCACTGTTTCCTGCCAATGCAAAACAGCAATAAAACAACAGGCTCAACTTTCCTTTCCTGGACATCCATCTCCTTAGTGCCCTCTTTCACAAAAAGAGACTCCATCCTGACTTTCCCCCATATGCAGAAGGACTAACTTCAGTCCAGTGACTCACACAAGAAAAAGCTGTGGAGGATGCACATGTTCTACTTGTACAATGGTCTAGGTGTCATAGTGGAGTTTTTAACTGAAATTTGCCATTTGGGTACCAGCTATATTTAATTAGCTTCTCACATTTTTTCCTAAAATGTTGTCGAAGGAGCATTGTTTAAAGTTCTGTGGTTCCATATGTTTTGTATGTTCTCAGCATAGATGGATAGAACTGGGTCATGCAACCAGTCTTAACTTGACCAACATTTTAAACAATTATACTGTTAACAGAACCAGAAGATAATTAAAAATAAAAATGTCTTCCAATTTTTATTTTTTTTAATATCTGCTTTTGCTGGATCAATTATTAAATTGCTCACTATTTACTGTCCAATTCATTGTAATTTTCATTCTTTCTTATTACCATGCAATACAGTTCACTAAACTTCTAACCAACTTTGTGACTTTATTAGCACTAGGTCCCAAAGGGAGCCTGATTCTTTAGCAGCATAAGCAGAAACAGCTAACATGAGAAACTGAAGATTTCATAGGCAAAAACAGAAGTCAAGCAAACAATTTTCCTTCATATTCTCAGAAACAGCCATTGGCAAGATTATCATATTTAGCATAATTTTATCTAGCATATTATTTATATAAAATGCAATACCCACTTCTGTGGCCTTTGGGAAGCAGGTGTTCTTCTGTGCAGTCAACTGTGGCACTGAGTATTATTTTAGCCTCACCTTATAGTGGTTTCCCATTCCAGTCCTTTTTTATGAAAGAAGCTGTCCTCATAATTAAGATTTCAAGCCCTAGAGTCTTTGGTACAAAATAATTTCAGTACACAGTACACATTTCTGACTCATTTGTGTCAGTGGCAGTTTCAACATACTTCTGGCTCACCCATTTCGGTGGTGTTTCTCCTAATATGAAAGATGAGCATAAAGTTATAAGCCTGGTTTCACAATTCAAAGTGTTTCTTGTTTGGGTTGGTTCCTTTCTCATTCATCTCCACCACTTTTTCACTCACATGGTTTACTGCCCTCTCACTTGGGTGCCTCTGTACTAGCAAATTAAGCAATTCCAGGATGTAGATGTGAGAACTGGAACATGACTTAGTGCCCTCTTGAACAATTAGCACAGGTTCAAGTAAGAATGACAATGCAGTAGATAATCCTGGGTGGTTATCTTTAAGGAAATGGGTAGATCCATTACCTGCTCTCTGGAAAAAGTCCACTTGATATAAATAATGGGTCTAGAAATCCCTTCCCTTTCATCATAACCCATACCACAAGAACTGGTATCTTAGTCACTCACAAGAGGAAAGAAGCAGTGTACTGAGGTAGAAGTCAGCCCTCATACATCTGACCCGTGAGGACTCAGAGAACTGAAGGTCAATAAGCATAATTAAGATATCCAGGAAGATAATGAAGCAAACCTTCTCCAGTGAACAACTCAGACAAGTATTCATTTGTGTTTCAGTTTTGGTAACATTTTGACAAAGCCACAAAAGACGTTTGCAAGGAAGGGAGAGATGGTTTGGATGCATTTAATGAGACATGCACATACATGTGGCTGAACACACACATCTGTGATGCTGCTGTGCAGGGGGCAGGGGCAGAGAGCTCTGGCAGTGAGGTGGGGTGTCTGCACAGATGGACAGTACTCCTGTCCAGAGCTGACTGCACAGATCTCACATGTGATGTCCACAACCTTCCCCAGCCACAAATCACAACCATGGTTGAAGACAGCCCTTGCTGATGTATGGGAAACCATCACTGAACGGGAGAGGAGAGGAGAGGAGAGGAGAGGAGAGGAGAGGAGAGGAGAGGATTCGGTTGGAAGGAACATATCTAGTCCAACAGCTTGACCACAAATTAGTTAGGAACTAGTTCCTCTCTAAACTGCAAGAAATCTCTTATTTGTGTGATGGTGTAACAGGAACAGCAAAACCTGATGCTGTGCACAGTTCAGCTAAGGCAATATCCTGTCTCTTGCCTTTACAAAAACAGCATTCCTCAATGACAGGTAGAAGAATCCTGTGGCAGGCAGAACTGAGTTTGCTCTTTCCCAGATTTGATATCCAACAGTCATGACATCCTCGTAGCACTGAAAAAGAAACTTTAAAGTCATTTTGAAAATATATCATCATTAGTTATGAAACTTCTGGATATTCCTAGAATGTATGGAGCCTTCTGAAAGCTGTAAGACAGATGTATTTTACACCCCTCTCATGCTGGAAACCTTGAGCCACTCATTTTTTCACTGTTTTGTTTTGTTTTGTTTTTTCAGAATTTGAAGAAATGTTCTTGAAACCTCCAAAGCAAAAACATGCAGTACACTTGCTATAAAGTGTGTGTCTAGAGCCTTGATTGATTTGATGCTTTGAAGTGTTACAACATTGTTTCAACGGTGAAGATAGGAAAATGGGGAAGTCTTGATCTATGTGGTGGTTTTGCACAATCCCTTCTGAAACTGTGGATTGCCTCTCTCTTAGACTCTCTCTTGGTTGCACGATCCAACTGCTCTTTTCCAAAATTCAGGAAAAAGATTGTGCATGCTTTAAAATAACATCCCTTCTCTGTGAAGGTGGAGTTGAAAAAAAAAAACAAAACAAAACAAAATATGTGTCCATCTGAATTAAATAACTGCAGAAAGGATCTTTAATTTTTAAATAACATCCCCATCACAGAGCTAATTTTCTTTAAACCAATTAATGTTTTCAATTCATTGGCATGTGACAGGCAGTACTATTTAACATGGCACCTGTACATCCAACAGGCTTTGTAAGAGAAGTAAATTTTAATTAAATAGTAAGAGATATCATCATTAGCTTTTTTTTTTTCTCTCAATTCCCCTTGTATCTCTTTATTTATTTATTACTAAAGACTATCCAAGGAGCAAACTCCACAACATTTTAAAAGAGCTGGTAACCAGACAATCATTTTGGCTTAATACAAGGGTGTCTTTGAGAGCAGACACAACAAACCAACAAATTTTATAAATTAATCTAAAAAGTTGAAAACTGACTTTTGGTAGCATCATGTCTTCAGTGAATTTCTTTGCATACTTTCTTGAGATTTGAGGAGGAAGGAAGATCTATTTTTTAGTCTGCCTGACAGCCTTCAACAAAGAGCTGCCTGGCAGGTATCACAAAGGCAAAAATGTCCTTGCTGCAAGAGATATCATCATCAGCTAATACAGTTCACAAATATTAATGTTTTAAAATATGTTAATGAAATTTAACATCCTGTACACTATTTTTAATGTAGCAAGTTTTTCTCCTTTTCCACATTGAATTTAAGTTCTTAACACTTGAGGAAGCCAAGAAATGAAGACTGTGCAATGACTACCAACATCCTGCTATGAAAACATACATGACTGCATTGATGGAAATATGGAGAATTCCAAAGTGTTCAAATACAGTCATGCAGAAAGTCCTAAACACTGAAGGGAAGGACAGCTTGACTTTTTGAAATGCCTGTCACAAGCACCTGAAATTGCTTGATAAAGAAAACTTTCCATTCCTCAGCTAAAGCTAATGGGATAGTAGCTAGAAACAAAGAAGTTGCAGTGAGCATACAAAGATTGGGAGTATTGTGCTATGATGAAGCTGCACTTACAGTTTTCAAAATTCTGATTTTGCTTGCTGTGTTAGACAGAAGAATTGATTTTTAATATTTTTCTTCCCTGCATTTTTGCAGGAGCATGTACCTTTGGCTTAATCTTCTGTCACAGAATTATGTAAACCCAGATACATTAATTGGAATTGTAAGAATAAGAAATATTTGGAGTTTTTTTTTTTTTCACATCTAGTTAATTCCTTCCAGGGCTGATTGATCAGTCCATACTCTTTGTCTAACTTTTAACCTATCATATGTAAGATTGGTTTCATCAAGCAGATTTCATGTGAGGCTGTCATCATCTGCTACATGCTGTGTTATATCCAGTACCAGACTGTCCACAGTCTGCATCAACCAGGTTTTTATCCTGTTCTGCAAGAGTAAAGGCATCATAAAAAATACAATGGACTTCAAAAGGACCTTAAAAAAATTTGGGACTGTTTGGTACAAAAATTAGCATCTGAGCAGAAAGGCAGCTTTTCTACTTCTGTGGAGATAATCCTTACTACTTTTTTTTCTATAACAGTCACAGATTAGCTTTATAGATAAGTGTTACACAATAAAATAATAAGCATTGTTCTAATTCTTTCTATGCCATTTTCAGACGGATTTTCCTGACTTTAAGTGTGTGTCCACCTGCTCTGCTGCAGCAGTTTGATGGACAGGTAAGAAAGATAAGACAAACTTTAAAGAAAACAGAAATAATCCTCTGACAGTTTAACATATCTGTAGATTATAATTTTGTGATTTTGCAGCCGTAAAAGAAAACAACGGATGTATATTCAGGAGATGCACATTCAGATCTTAGGAGGGCCAGAGAATGAGAGCAATGAGAGGTGGTTAGGACTACAGTCTGGATTTAAGCAGCTGTATTCTTCCCAGAGCTGTCTGTGGGGATCTTTAAATCTGGATCTCAGCCTGTCCACAAACCAGCATGCGCTGTAATATGTCAAGCAAACCTCTTACTTATTCAGCTTTAAGTAGCAGGGGTTGTGTATTACTGTAAGCATATTTATTGCTCTGCCTATAATATGTTTTGGCCATAGTTTTCTAAGTTTATAATTTACTAGAAGTACTATATCAAACAATTTCTCTCTTTTTTTCCACATGTTTTGATATTCATGTTGTTCTGGATGTTTTTCAGGGAGCTGTTTTTCAGGGAGCTGGTCTACTATAAAAAGTAAATTGTATAAAGTCAGTTGTTTTTAATCTGGGCAAGATCATCAGCACAATTCACCATAAGGTCCAACATCAAGTCCTTTTGTTACAACTGAGGGGCTCTAAAAAGGTCAAAATGAGCTTTGTGGGAGAGGGAATGTTCAACTATGCTATTACTTCATGTGTATCTCATGGGTGGGATTTCAGGCATGACGTGTTACAGTGCAGAGACCGAGCAACAAGAACACCAAGGGATGAGCAGAGGTTGAGCACAAGACCCATTCCCTGCTCCTTTGTGCTGCTGGTGGGGAGGAGGTAGCAGAGACAAGCCTGGGAAGAAGGGAAAGCTGGAGGGA